GGGATATAATAGATGAAGAAGGACGCGAGGCAATCATTGAATGGTCATTACAACGAAGATTCAAGAGTAACAATCTAAAAAGATTAATTTATCGTAACGAGTTTTTAGCGTACACTTTTACATGGAAAACAATTAAAGCTTTCTTCAGACATTTTAACTGTGTGATGTTATTTCAGATGACACTGGCAATTGGATCGGTATACCTTTCAACGCGGTATAATTATTCGTTTGATATATATGTTCATTTGTTTGTATCACCTATTGTATTTCCTCTTGCTTTTGCAATTAATGCTGATTTTCAAAGAAGGGAGAAAGCTTTAGATGACTTGGCAAATTTTAAAGCAGCTGTAATGACATGGTTTTTTTGTATGCGGGATTGGAGAGAAGCGGCACATTTGGAAAAACTATGGTTACAGACTGTGCATTTTAAAATAAAGAGCATTTTGTATTATACTCGTAAATACCTATTGACTAAATGGACAAAAAAAAGGAGAAAAATTCTTGATGTAATATACGAAAATTTTAGCGATACTTCTCAGTTAATTGAATTGGTGAGAAAAAGTGACTTGCCAACAAACACGGCTCTTGTAGCAAGAATCCATCTGGTTATAAATTCAATGTATTATGCATTTGAGCGGCTCAGAATTATTCGAGAATATCGTTCACCAAGATCGATTCGTTCGTTTAACAAAATTTTTATATTTTTTTTACCAGCTCTTATTTCACCATATTTTGTACATTTAGGAAAAAAGACTAAGAACGAATGGTCACCTTATTACATTTCAGTGCTAATAGCCTTTGTCTTTTCTGCATTGCAAGGTGTTCACGACAAACTTGATGATCCATTTGACGGAGTAAGTGACGATGATATTAATTTATCGTCACTAGATGAATGGACATATCAGTCAATAGACGCTAATTTAGAAAGATTATTTACATGTTAAGTAAATAAATAAAAATAACCAGTTTACATATTTAACAAAATATTTATGATTAAAATATTTTATGTTAAATTATAATATTTATAACAAACATATTTATAATAAATATCAGTTTGAGATATTTCCATTTTTAAAACTAACAAAAAATAACTATTCTTATATTTGTATAAGAAAAGTATTGTTTATTTTTTATTGCATATATATATATATATATATATATATATATATATATATATATATATATATATATATATATATATATATATATATATATATATATATATATATATATATATATATATATATATATATATATGTATATGAAGAACTATACAAAATTTTTAGTTATGTATTTTAAATTGTTAATTGCCATGTATGTGTTTGCCAACGAAAAATATTTACAATCGCAATTTATAAAAAAAATACTCTCATATTAAATATTTAATATAAATATTTACTAAAAAGATTTCAAACAAAGTCTGATGAACATTTTATTTTATTTGATATTTAATTTTTTAGTTTGAAATTTTTTTTTTGTTTTAAAAAAATTATATAAGTCTAGTAAACTTACATTGCTTTTTTTTTTGAGTCAACCCCAAACTTAAAGCATCTTTAATACCGTTATTTTGAATTTGGATGCATTTTAGTGTTCACTTTTTGTAATACCAATAAACCGGTTCCAATTTATTAACCGATCTCGCAATCCCGAGTCCCGATTTTTTTAGGGATTACATTAACGGTATATTACATTAACGGTGTTGCACTTGTAGATTACATTAACGGTAGACCAGTGTTTCACAAAAAGGTTCGATAAAACAAAAGCAATTTTGATTTTGAATCTTGATGTTGTTTAGACATTTTGAGTTATGGATAAAAATTAACCAACAAAAACAGAAAATTAAAAGCAAATAACATTTAAAAAGGCAAAATCACGTTAAAATTTTTCTAAAACACGTGTCACAAAGCGCTGACAGACGTATACTCAAACCTCAAGTTTTTTGATTAAGTAAAATATATAAATATAGGACCCATAAGCAAACCACTTAAAATCGTCTTTTTTAAAAAAATAAAACTAAATTATTTTAATTTTTTTTAGTTTTGTTGCTGTTGTTTTCTTTTTGAAAACTGTCTTACTGCCTTTTGCTTATCAATGACATTAATGAATTTTTAAAAAACTCCAAAATAACAAGGGATGGCAAAAATCCCGAAAATTTTCAATTCCGGGATTTTGGGATTGAGAAATTTGTTCCCGAAAAATCCCAGGATGGAATAAAAAAAAAGCAAAAAGACTTTTAAAAATTAATGAACCTAAGTACTTTAAATTATAAATCAATACCTTAAAATAGTAACACAGTATAAATTAAAATAATAATTGAAAAATAATATAAATATGCATGACTTACTAAATGACAAAATTTTAAAAACGTCCGTTTAGGAAGCCAAGAAAAGTTAGTAATTTAACAAACCTGTTTTTTGATAACTTTATTAATTTTTTTTTTATTTTTTTTTATTTTACTTTACCTCCTCAAGGCCGAGAAGGCCACTACAAACGAGGAGGCTACTTATTTTGTGACTATAACCCTCTCTCAACTCTATAACTCCGAAACACGAACCTTGACGAACAAGGCCGCTGCGCGGAGAAACGAGTTGAGCGCGGTACTACCAGGGACGTGGTGGGGATCGAACTCGGAACCACTCGTTTATGAAGCGAGCGCTCTACCACTACACCACTTACCGCAATTAAATTGACTTTAGTAAATCACGCTCGTGTTTGAAATTTAAATTAATGGAAATAAAAATGGAATTTGAATCACGCACACGTTTGAATTTAAATGAATGGATATAAAATATGAAATTAAAATCGCCCACACTTTTGGAAGCAGAAAGTTCAAAATTAATCTAAGTTTTTAATTCTTTTAAAAACTTCTATTAAAAACACTTACCAATGGTACCAATCCAATCACTAGCTACAAATACAGCTCAAGTAAAGAGGCGTATACCTCCCAAACAATTTATAATAATAAAACCCGAACCCGCAATATATGCACTACAACCATTACTAAATAATGCAATTACATCCAAACACAACCACATCTACTTTTGGGCTAACAACCCTTGCTCTTTAAATAGCGAAAAAATACTAGAAATAAAAGCCAGAATCAACACTCTCGCCAAAAATGAAATAAAACCAAATATTATCTTCATAGCTGAAACGTAGTTCAATGAAACATCAGACACCTCAATCGATGGATACCACTTGCACAGAAAAGATAGAGGCAGCCGAGGAGAGGTGTGGTAATTTATATTAAATCTACTATTCCTGCTGTGTTAACTAGTATAAAAAAACTAAACGATTCTAACATTGAGCAACTTTGGCGAATTATTAAGTTCGGTAACGAAAAACTCCTCCAAAGATGTATCTATCGACCTCAAGATAATAACGATGATACCATCACGAAAATAATTTCTTCAATCAAAGCTGAAAAATACAATCTCTCGAAACTAGGCTGCGCGCCCTTGCTCTTATATGGTGACTTTAATTTCACACAACATATAAAGAACTTAGTCACACAACATATAAAGAACTTGAACTTGTAGTTGATGACAGTATACTAGTTGTAGCGCATGTCAACAAAGAATGGCCTAGCAACACAAAGTTTCAACTTAAGTGAACATTTTTTAACTCAAATGATAACATTCCCAACATATCGTAACTCAAGAAACAATGCACCGGGTAATATTCTTGACCTTGTCATTACCGATAAACCAAATCGAGTTCGAGACTTCAAAAAGAATGATCCAATAGGAGACACGTCTAAGGGTAAAGCTCACTTTCTTATAACTGGTCATTTCGAAACTATGAACTTTGATTTACCAGCAACTTTTCATTCACGTTATATTTGGAGCAAAGCAAAGTATCAAAAAATATCAGAATATATTATAGATTATGACTCGGACAAAAACTTTACTAATCACTCAGCAAACTTAAACTATCAACTACTTGTAAATAAAATATGGAAACTGTGTGCAAATACATTATAGTGACTTATGTTCCATTCAAAAGAAAAAGAGAAACTTGGATTACACCAGAAGTTACAGAAGCAGTTTTTCGAAGAAGGCAATATGTCGCTTCTCGAACTAAAACACACAAGGCACTCAGGAGTAAGCATAAAATAGCCTGTAAACATGTTTCATAGGTAATAAAAGAAGCTATTTAAAGGTACAAACATCAGTTAGCTAGTGTTTTCAAAAATAAATTAAAGAAACTTTATGATCACAAAAGAAGAAACAAATAACTCACTTTAAGCTCTCGAAGATGACAATAAAAGCATTGTAACCGATGGTGCAGAGGTCTCAGATATTCTAAACGAGTACTTTCATTCTGTATTCACTACTGAAAAACCAGTTTAGCCAGTTTTTGAATCACGTACAAACGTATCTTGCACAATAGACTTAAATTTCCTATCGGCGGCTTTAGTCCAAGAAAGACTAAAAAAACTCATTGAAACCAAGTCGAAAGGATATGACAATATACACCCACGAGTATTACGCAACTGTGCTTTAGCCTTCGCAATTCCATTAGCTATGATCTACCAAAAATTAATTTGCGATTCACAGGTTCCAGAGCTTTGAAAAAGATCAAATGTTACCCCAATTTTTAAACAAGGCAACAAGCAGAACCGAGCCAATTATAGACCAGTATCATTAACATCGGTGCCCTACAAAATTATAGAAGGTATTATATACGAAAAAAATCATATACCACTGTCTTAGCACTAACCTAATATCCAATCAATAGCACGGATTTCTTTATAGCAAAGGATACACATCGAACTTACTTGAGACTATGGATATACTAACAGAAGCAATGTATCAAAGCTACACCACTTATATCATCTTCACTGACTTTTCGAAAACCTTCGATAAAGTTCCACACGTCAGGCTTTTACCTAAAGCATACCTTAAAGCATATGGTATAAACGGTTTGGTCTTAGATTGGATAGAAAAATGGCTAACGAACCGTTATCAACGAGTTCTAATTGGCATGCACAAATCTAAATGGAAATATGTAACAAGCGGGTACCCCAGGGCTCTGTGTTTGGTCCGCTTCTTTTTATATTATATATCAACGATCTTCCGGACTATATTACTCATCACATAAAGATTTATGCCGATGATTGCAAAATAATCGCAGTTCTAAAATCTGACAAGGACAAAACTACCTTGAAAATTGATATAGATAACTTGGTAGATCGGTCGCATAAATGGAATATGCCTCTCAACTTCGATAAATGTAAAGTTATGCACGTCGGGCGTGGTAACTCCAAATTTGTTCAAAATAATTCGATGCTTAACTTTAATGGAAACAGAATTCAACTGGACGTCACTAAGCACAAACATGATCTGGGAGTACTTCTTTCAGGCAATCTTAAAGTATGCTATCAAGACGAATCAGCAGCAGCAAAGCCAACAGTAAACTTGGTAGACTAAAGAAAATATTTAGAAGTTGCGGACTCTTTTTGTGAAAAGTACTTAACAAAACCTATATTAGACCCCAATTAGAATTTGCTATCTAGGCTTGGTCACAAGGGAAAAGACATTGCTGCTCTAGAGCAAGTGCAGCATAAAGCCACCAAAACAATGACAGAAATGAAGCACTTCCAATATAAAGATAGACTCCGTCATCTCGACTTAACCACACTTAAAAAAAGGAGAGTTCGAGGAGATTCAACAATTTAAATTTTCAAAAGGTATTGACCAAACCATTTTTGAGAACCCTCAAGTCTACGCACCATCGATTTCCAAATACGATTTGCGTGGGCATTACCTTAGACTTGAACCTCAAAATGTAAAAAACTGTGATGAAAAATTCAATTTCTTCACTAATCGCATTGTCAATGGATGGAATGCTCTACCTACAGACGTCATAAGTACTGAATCAGTTTACTCGTTTAAAGATAGTGTTGACAAAGTCTATTCCACACTGTTTTTTCTATGCTTTTTCTTTATATGTATATCCTAGCTTTCTGGACCAGTAAAATAAGGGTCTTTACCAAGCGACCATTTCTATAATAATTTATTCCACACAGATCATTTCTTGCTAACTTTGTTATTACTTGGTAAAAAAAAATAATTCTAAAGTTTTCTAAATAAATTGCTTTAAGCGCGGGTCCAGACAGAATTAGCAAAAAAAAATTAAAATGCGCACCTTTTCTGTATACGGATCTTATAAGAGTATCTTATAGAAGTGGATCTTATAAGAGATTTATAAAATAGTTTGTTTTTCTCATAAACAGAGAAACTCTATTCCACATTAATTTTGTCTATATTTCTTCTTCTAATATTTTTAAGTGAATAATAAATTATGAGCAAAAATGTAAGTTGACATACGCATCTTTTCCGTATACTTAATAAGGTGCACTGAACTTTTTTTTTTTTATTCATTTTGCCAGGGGGTGCAAAAGTTGCCTATTCACGTCAGAAATACTCTGTAAAAATTGCAATGCTCTAGGAAACTATCTTGAGGTGCCCCAAGGACTTTGAAATCCCCCAAAATCCCCAAAATGTGACCTACCGACTACGGAGTATGGAGCACGGACTACCGAGATAGACTAAGACTTTTTTTTTAAATTTGTGTGTGTCTGGGTGATATAATAATTTTATTATTTAGAGCTATATAATTAGCTGCTATAATGCTGCCATCTGGCGAGTGAATGTGTATTTATTATTATGTAAAATACAAACGGCGTCAAACTAACAACAAAGAATAAAGCAGATAATTATTAAAATTATCATTTATTTTTGCTGTGTTGTCTTTGTATGGTTAGATCATGGCACAAAAGATTGAAACTGTACGAATGAAGAAACCACTCTCTTGCAATGATAACATATGCCCAGTATTTGGCATCATTTCACGGATGAGCATAAATGTTTTGCCAACGTAAGCAGATATCATGAAACATTTTATATTAATAAGAAAAGAATTATCTGATGGCCATGCCAAAGAAGCTACATTTAATGAAACAACCAGGAAGATATCTGTTGATCTTGAGACAATATGGCACAGAGCATCAATTCCAGTAATATCCCGTCAGCAAATAATAGCTAAAATAAGAGATTACCATGACAAATATCGCTCACTTATGAAACCGTTTAAACAGAGGTCCAAGGACAAGGAGTCACAGTACCTGAACAAAGTTGAAAACTTCTGACTTAAATCGAATTTTTGATATTGCTTCATGTAAATGTAAAGACTTTTCGTCATGTGCTTGTGAAAATAATTGTAAAGTTCCACCAAATGAAATAATGTTCCTTGCAGATCAAAGAACAGAAAGGAAAATAGCTATTGGCAACGTTAATATTAAAACAACAAAGCAGCAGGAAAAGAAACTGAAAAGAAAACTTGCAGATGAATTGAGATTTTATAAATGTGAATCAACTACAAATGCTGAAAATTTAAAATCGCATCCAGATTGTAGCTTGGAGGATAATTTTAATGATGTCACGTAAGGTGATTTAGATGAAGCTATCACCGAAAGAGATAGTAATGAAAATGTTGACTTCATGACAGACTCGCCTAAGTCACCATCATCAACTAATAATACAAGCTCAAAAGAAATTTTGAATTCTCAAATGCGAACTCCACTACCAACATTAGCTCGTGAATGTAATCGATGGGGAGTATCGGATCGCTCAGCTGCAGAATTAGCATATGCTGTTTTGGTTGATTATGGCATTATTAATGCACAGCACTCATCTGATGTTATTGGCCCAAGTAAAATTCGTAGAAAAAGACAGAAAAAGAGAAAAATTTTACAAGCTGGTGCTGCTAAAACATTGGAAGGATTATATTTTGATTGTCGAAAGTACAAAACTCGAAGCCAGATCATTAATGAAACAGATATCATTCATCTTTGGAGACCGAGAAGCACGTTATGTTAATAAAGGAGCCTGGTTCTGAATACCTGGGACATGTTAAAACATCACAGGAATCTTTGCAAAGTATAAAGATTAGCATTATATCATTTTGAATGCAAATGCTATTGATACCAGTTCATTGGTGGCAGTCGGATGTGATGGCACGAATGTCAACACAGGTAATATTGGTGGTGCTATTCAACTTCTCGAGCTTCGTTTCAACAAATCTCTACACTGGTTTGTATGTTTATTGCATATGAATGAGATACCATTGAAACATCTCTTGATTAACCTTGATGGATCTACACATGGGCCAAATTCATTTAGTGGTCCAATCGCAAAATTATTGAAGAACATGGACTTGCCAATTGTCAGTTTTCAACCAATCGAAGGAAATGTGTTGTCCAGCATTGATGCAGATGATCTCAGTATAGATCAAAGGTACTTGCATAAAATTTGTCAAGCAATATCCAGTGGCCAATGTAGTTTTGAATTGAGTAATCGAAAACCGGGACCCATGTGTCTTCTAGATGGATAACAACTGCCAGTCGTATCCTCCGGTTATATGTATCTACAGAAAAGCCAGACAAAAACTTGATCATTCTTGTAACTTACATACAAAAGGTATATGCACCTATTTGTTTTGAAGTGAAGTCTAAGCATTCCTGTACGAATGGAAGTCGCCATCTCTTTCGAATGGTGCATTATACCAGATACTTGCCTATCGAGCTCAAGAATATTGTTGATCCTGTAACCCAAAGAAATGCATACTTTGCTCACCCAGAAAACTTATTAATATCAATGGCAACCGATGAAAGGCCCCACATTCGTCAATTAGCACTAAGACGTGTATTGGCTGCAAGATCGACATCCGACAAGACCGATGCTAAACCTACAGTTAGATTGTTCAAGATACCACCGCTAAACTTTGAAGCAACAGATTATACAGACATAATCAACTGGTCATCAAATAAAAGTGCTGAACCTCCAATGTTCAGATCAATTGAATTGACTCAGCTTAAAAACAGCATTCTGACTTCAGAAATGCTACAGTTTAAAAGCTTTCCATGCCATAGTCAGTCTGTAGAAAGAAGCGTGAAGCTAGTAACTGAAGCCAGTATGGCAGTCTGTGAGCCTCAGCGTGATGGTTTTATTATTTATATTTTATTTTTACACCTCAAGATAATTTACCAGAGCATTGCAATTTTTACAGAGTATTTTTGATATGAATAGACAACTTTTGCACACCCAGGCAAAATGAATTTCAATCAAAAAAACAATTTTCTAAATTTTTTTTCCGTAGCTCACTTTTTGGGGATTTTTGGGGATTTCAAAGTCCTTGGGGCACCTCAAGATAATTTTCTAGAGCATTGAAATTTCTACAGAGTATTTCTGATATGAATAGACAACTTTTGCACACCCGGGCAAAATGATTTTCAAAAAAAATATATATATATTTAATGTTATTACTGCACCCTAATACTTAAAGCTTATTAAAACCTTTACCCAGTATGTTTACTTAGAATGAAAAATTCTGAACTACTAAAAAACTTTAGGAAAGAAAATTGTCTCTTCATGGTGTTAGATGCCCAGATTTACCTAATTAAATATGCTAGGCACTTCAAATAAATAAATTTAAACAGACAATTGCGAAACATTAAAAAAGAGTCAATAGTAAAACTTTTACCTTCTCATTAAAATAATATTTATTTGCAAAGCAATTAAAGACCAGTAAAACAGGCCATCGGGAGATAGGCATGTCGAATAAATTAAATTGATCTGTTTTTCTGCATAAAAGAAAAACAGAAAAAACTCATATATGTAAAGTACTTGATATAAGAACAGATAATACTGGATTTAAATAATTCAATAAAATAGGAAAATACGAAACGAAATGTTGTCACATATTGAACAATAAATACTTCGTAAGATTTCTTTTGTAAAAGTCTTTAGAATTTGATTAGAAGGTTGGAAATACTCTTTTTTAAAAAAAATCGGTTTTATTGACAATGTTAAAGATAAAAAAGCACACTGAGATAAAAAGTTATGCATTTATTCTAAAAATATTTCTTGGCTTTTAGTGAGCGATTAGGAGTAAGTTTCAGTAATGAAGTTACCCAATAATACAAAGTCTTTCATATCACTAAAGACTATTAAAAATTAATATGACAACCATAAGATACAGACTAATCTTGGAGATTTAAAAAACGTTTATAAATGGCTAAACCATTGCTACAACTGTTAAACGATCTTTCCAAAAACAATTATAAATTCTATTACAAGAGGACATTCATTTAAACTAGAAAAACATTATTCTCGTCTAGCTTCTCGTGAAAACCTTTACACCTGACGAGTAGTCAACAAATGGAACTCCCTCCCAGATGACGTTGTAAATGCGTCATCCTTTAGCAATTATAAAAAAACACACTAGACAATTATTTAAAAGAAGAAAAAACAATTTATGATTAGTATATTTGTATGATAGGTTGACAGGCATTCATGCCTATACAAATGCGATTTGTAAACATCATAAATAAAAATAGAAAAATAATAGAAAAAATCATTTTTAACGA